TCCTCCCTTCCCCCAACATAAACACGTCCTCTTTCCTGGCAGTGATGAGTCTTCTACTGCCAGTGGGAGCAAGGAGGTGGGAGCAGTACCTGTCCCTGGACCTGCACCACCTCCCCTAACACCAGAAATAGTCATCAGGACTAGTGTGACAGTCTCCTCCACCCCCATTTCATCTCCCAGCATGAGCATCCCAGTGCCAGAGGAGGAGCTGGATATGGAAGCAGAGGACCTGAGCACCCTAGCAAAAGAAATTCTGGGGAATGAGGGGGAATCTGAGTTTGTGCTCTGCACCTTGCAAAGTTCCCCTAGAGCCAGGCCTCCTTCTCTGGAAGGCACCTTGGAGGAGGTAGTGGGGGCAGGTGGCTCAGCTTCCTCTGTTGTTCTCCCTCTGGCTGCGAGATGGGGGATAAGGCAGGATCCCCACCCTCAACCCAGAAGCAGAGGGGTAGTGTGGGATCATGTTGAGATGGCAGATGATCCCAAGTATGCTATCTGCCAGCACTGCCGAAGGCAGATCAGCTGGGGAAAGGAGGTGAAACACTTCACCACGGCGATGCTGCTGCATCTCAGGAGGCAGCACCCCCTTGCCCTTGCTCCTCCTCAGCCTGGCGCCAGTGGGAGCATGCCCAAAGGGAATTCTCCCTCTTGTTCCAAAGCCCCCGTCCCCACAAAGCAGAGGCAGGCCACCCTGGACCGGTGGGGAAAAGCTGCAAACACAGAGAAGCGCGTTGCAAGGGACAGCGAGGTTACCCAGAGCACTGGGGAGATGCTTGCTCTGGATAGTCAACCTTTGAGTGTCCAGAATTCGGGCAGCTCATGGCACTTATGTCCCCATACTACCAAGTGCCTGCATGCACCATCTTTATCAGGATGGTGGTGCCCTCCCTGTATGAGGCATGCAGGGAATACTTGAGGGAGAAGCTGTGCAAGGCAGGTCCACAGGTAGCTCTGCACTTCACCTCAGACATCTGGAACAGCCGGGGTGGAGATCATGCCTACCTCTCTCTCACAAGGCACTGGTGTGATCAGTCAGGCCATTAGTGGATTCTCCTTCAAGCCAAGGTGATGGATGAGTCCCACATGGCAAGAAAGACCATGGGGGCCATGAACTGCATGGTGCAGGGGTGACTCATTGGGCAGGGCAAGCGCACCCATGGGTTCATGGTCACAGACAACAGGGCCAATATGGTCAAGGCAGTCCATGATGCCAACTTTGTTGGCAATCGCTGTGTGGTGCACAAGTTCCACCTCATAGTCAGGGGTGCCTTGGAGGGGAACAGGGCTGCCAGTGATGGCGTCATTACTACCACTCAGCTGATTTAAAAATGCAGGAAGGTGGTAGGCTACTTCCACCGCAGCATCAAGCGGGGCAAGATGCTGTGGGAGAAACAGGCAGAGCTGAGCCTCTGGGGCAGGGCAGTGTTGGTGCCTGCCACTTTAAGGGCTGAGCCAGGCAGCCAGCAGGTGCTTGATTGCGGCAGCCATTTTAGATCTCTGGCCACCTACATAAACAGAGTAGTTCACTGCTGGCAGACCAGGCAGTAACATTGCCTAGCTACAAGGGTGAATGCAACATCCTGGAGGTAAGGATAGGAGCTGTAGGGGATGGTTTGGAGGCTCCTGATCCTGGGCATGACCTAAAACTGCACCTTGCTTGGAGTGGGTGGCCTGGTGGGGCTCCCAGTGGCATGGGAGTCCCCAGGAAATACCAGGCCAATTACCACCCTGGTGAAAGGTAGGTCAGGGCACCTTAAAAACCCCAGCTCTCACAACCAGGTGGTTTACCCTATAGTAGTGCCAAGAAGGCAGACCCAGTTTAGAGAGTGGGCTAGAGGCTCAGAAGCCTGACTTAAAACACCTTTGACTGGCCAATGCTAGGGCCAGGACAAGAAGGGTCAAAAGGGCCAGGGGCCCACTGCAAGGGACACCCAGAGCTGAAGGCTTGGGGTTTCTGATTGGCCTTGGAGGTCAGGCCAGGGCCTATGCGGTCAAAGGTCCTGGGGGGGCCACAACCAAGACAGGGAGGAGTTCAGGGAGCTAGGCAGCCCAAAATGAGGGTGGAGTTAGGCTGCCTGATTGGAGGGATCCATTTGGGGTCTGGACTGGAAGATTCTGGGGCCCAGTGTGGGGCCAGTGATGTGAAGAACTGTGGATGCCATCTACGAGGCTTCGGCTGTGGTGTAGGGGAAGAACAGAGCCGTAGATAGTGCTCCCTGGCATCAGGGCAAGAATGGGCAGCCTCCCGCCTAATTAACAACATAAATATGCATCATCAAGGAGTGGCAGGTGAGGAGGTGGGCGGTTGGCCCAGAAACAGGTGGGCAGGCCAAATACAGACTGGCCCCAAGAAAGCCCCCTGTTACAGCATCCCACAGCACAAAATCATGCAGGATGTGGAGACTTGGTGGAACTCCACATATCTGATGCCGGAAAGGCTGGTGGAGCAACAGAAGGCCATCCATGAGATGCCCTTGCTTGGGGAGATTGGGATCAGTGGCCCCCTTAATAAAGTGGAGTGGGACAAACAGGCAGAGCTGAATATCCCGCAGCACAAAATCATGCAGGATGTGGAGACTTGGTGGAATTTCACATACCTGATGCTCAAGAGGCTGGTGGAGCAACAGAAGACCATCCATTAGATGGCCTTGCTTGGGGAGATTGCCCCCTTAACAGAGCTGAGTGAGATCCCATCTCCCAGATCTTGGTGGTCCTCAAGCCATTCCTTGAGGCCACTGAGACCCTCAGTGCTGGCTATGCCCTCCTTAGCCAGGTGATCTCCATAGTGAGGGAACTTGAGAACCAAATGGAGAAGTTCCAGGGGATCAATGGGCAAGCTGTTTTCAACAGAGGTGCAGGCGCTGGTGAAGCGGCTGAAGGACGGCATCAAAAAACAGATGGATCTGTTGTGGTCCAGTATGGTCCAAGTACTGGCAGGCATGTCTGACCAGAGGGGCAAGCTGTTTTCAACAGAGGTGCAGGCGCTGGTGAAGCGGCTGAAGGACGGCATCAAAAAACAGATGGATCTGTTGTGGTCCAGTATGGTCCAAGTACTGGCAGGCATGTCTGACCAGAGGGTGAAGGGGAACATGTGCAGCACCAAAATCCTCAATCACTGGATGGAGGGGCTAGTGAACAGAGTCAGGGAGGCAGAAGGGCAGAGGCAAGGGGATGTGGAAGAGGGGGATCCACTTTCCTGTGCCAGCCCCAGCCAGTCTGCCATGCCAGCCACTGCCAATGTAGGTCAAGGGCATGGCTTCAGTGTTGGGGTCCAGAGGCACCAGACCCCAGCCTTGGGCAGGTAGCACCAAGGCTTTGGTGGCTACCTGTCTTGCTGAGGACGTGGAGCCACTGGACTGCAACCCCTTGGCCTATTAGGCAACCTGTAGCCAGATCTGGCAGGATCTCACCACAGTTTCCCAGGAACGCCTGTCCTGTCCACCGACCAGTGTTCTAAGTGAGAGGGTGTTCAGCATTGCTGAGGATATTGTGGCACCCCACCACACCTCCTTGGATCCTGGTTTGGTGGAGCAGCTGGTGTTCCTCCAGGTGAACCTCCCACTGCTGGTGTTCCCCAAGCTCCAACTGCAGATGGAGTGCATTTTACCCGTCCCTGGAAAAATCATGAAGCAGATCCTCAAGGAATCCATTTCTAAGCACTTGGAGGAGAAAAAGGTTATTAGGAACAGGCAGCATAGATTCACCAGGGGAAGTCATGCCTGACCAAGCTGACTGTCTTCTATGATGAGAGGATTGTGTCTATGGATGTGGGGAGACTGGTGGATGTGGTGTATCTTAATTTGAGCAAAGGCTTTTGATACAGTCTCCCACAATAGTCTCACAGGCAAGCTAAGGAAGTACGGGCTGGATGAATGGACTGTAACGTGGACAGAAAACTGGCTGGAGCATTGGCCTCAGAGAGTAGTAACCAACAGCTTGATGTCTAGTTGGCAGGTGGTATCTAGTAGACTGCCCCAGGGGTCAGTCCTGGGGCCAGTTTGGTTCAATGTCTTTGTTAACGACTTGGAAGATGGCATAGAGTGCACCCTCAGTAAGTTTGTATATGACACAAAGGTGGGGGGAGTAGTAGATACATGGGAGGGTAGGGCTAGGATTCAGAGTGACCTAGACATATTGGAGGATTGGGCCAAAATAAACCTCATAAGGTTCAATAAGGACAAGTGTAAAGTCCTGCACTGAGGACAGAAAAATCCCATGTGCCAGTACAGGCTGGGGGCTGGCTGGATGGGAAGCAGCTCTGCAGAAAAGGACCTGGGGGTTACAGTGGACAATAAGCTGAATAAGAGCCAACAGCATTCCCTTGTTGCCAAGAAGGCTAATAGTGTACTGCGCTGCATTAGTAGGTGTGTTGCCAGTAGGTCAAGGGAAGAGATTATTCCCCTCTATTCAGCACTGGTGAGGTCACATCTGGAGTACTGTGTTCGGTTTTGGGCCTCCACTACAGAAAGGATGTGGACAAATTGGAGAGAGTTCAGGAGAGGGAAACAAAAATGGTGAGGGGACTAAGGGACATGACTTCTGAGGAAAGACTGAGGGAACTGGGCTTATTTAGTCTAGAGAAGAGGAGACTGAGAGGGGACTTAATAGCAACCTTTAACTACCTGAAGCGGGGCTTGAAAGAGGATGGAGCTAGACTGTTCTCAGTGGTGTCAGGTGACAGAACAAGGAGCAATGGTCTCAAGTTGCAGCAAAGGAATTTTAGGTTAGATATTAGGAAGAATTTTCTCTCTAGGAGGGTAGTAAAACACTGGAACGGATTACCCAGAGAGGTGGTGGAATCTCCATCCTTGGAGGTTTTCAAAATCTGGCTAGACAAAGTTTTGGCGGGGGTGATCTAGTTGGGGATGGTCCTGCATTGAGCAGGGGTTTGAAGTAGATGACCTCCTAAGGTTCCTTCCAACCCTAACTTTCTGTGATTCTATGATTCTGTAACAGGGAGCTGTGGGTCTCCATTACTTGGAAAAATGAAGAAAGAAACTTACCATGCCAGCGGCGAAGCAGTAGAAAATGCTGACGTTATCAGTCAGTGTTGGGAGCATTCATGGCGCCTGTAAGACAGAAAGTGCTGTTAATTGATAACCAGAAATTACAATGATAAAAGGAATGACAAATGAACAGTGAGTCCCTGGAAGGGGAGCCTATAGCTGTGGTGAGCTAACAACGGTGCTGATTTTCATGTGGAGGCATGAGAGCGATGGAGGGCAGCATCCATCAAGAAGCAAGTATCAAAGATATTGAAGTGTTTCCTGCAAACTAGGGAGGGGTTGGTGATCCCCAGAACATGTAACAAAAAAGAATTAGAGACTTTGTTATAAGTTAATGATTGAATAATTGGACTGTAGAAACTTTTCTAATGGTGCTCTACCCAAAGTGGGGAAGAGTTCTGTCAGACAGAGAAGCTGTTTCTTTAGGGCTTTTTTCTTTTTTTTGGTTTCATTACAGGTTTCAAGTATGATGATGAAGTTATGAATGGGATGTGTCCATAAATGCCCAGAACCATGTTACTTATTGTGAAGTGAGCAGACCTCTGGTCACAGAGATATCAAGAGAGAAAAAAAGAAAGATTATTTTATAACTGTAAACATAGCACAGAGTTACCTGTGTGCTCTTTTTCGAATAATCTCTCATCAAGTCATGGTAGGAGAGTAAAACATGGGGGAAACTCTGAGTCAAAGCATTTCGCTCTATATTTGATTTAGGAATAATACCCACTCACGGATTCTAAGTACAAAAGTGGCCAGCCTGGCTAAGCAGCAATCTCATCAGTGAAGTGAAATTCAAAAATAAATTCTACAAAAAGTGGAATCTTAGTCACAGTTCTAGGGTAGAGTATAAGACAGGGCAGACAATTATTTCAGGTGGGCTGCTTACCAAGTTTTGGCAAGCTGTCTAGGGCTGCAAGGGTAGGCCTGCCCCTTGACAGGTGCCTGCCCCCTGGTCACCATCTTGGGACTGGAAATCCCATCCCTTAGCCCCTGACCTTTGCCATTCCTTGCCCCTGCCTTCTTTCAGCAAGGGTTTGCCATCTTGGAACCAGAAAAATACCAAATTCTATTTTAAAAATCAAACATCTACTACAAAATTCAGTAATTTGATTTAAAAAATATTTTTGTCCTGATTTATATGCGTTTGTGTAGCATACATAGAGGTATTTGTATAATAGCTTAAAATGAAACCTTACTCTTG